GCGTATGCTCTTAGCCAGCTGGTTGCGTGGATCGTCTTCTTTCTTCAGTTGACCAGGCTTCTATTCCTCCTTTAAAAGTAAGGGTGGGTGTAGCGCTCCTTAGACGATTTGTTACATTAGCCTTTTTTTTTTTCATATTTCACGTACAAAGATTAGTATTTACGTTTCTACAAATGAGTTTCGCGAACGGTCTTGAGAACGTCGCTTCGAGTCGAGGAAGACGAAACGCCTTGTTCGAGGTCGTCGTGCCGTACTAACAGAATCTACTACCGAGCTTTCGGCAGGTTGCTTACGAACGCTTGGCGATTTTCGTCGCGTACTTAAACTGGAGCTCTTTGAACGACCTTTTCAGGCCACGAAACCAAGCTTGGCGAGTCTGTTCTCCGAAAGATCTAAGATGAAACTGGACTTAGCTAGAAGACTAATCAAACCCGAATTGAATGTTGACGAGAACGATGTAACCACGCCCTCCTATTCCAATAAATCAAAAGCAAAAGAGGTTTCGACTGTCAGCGAGAGCAGGAACGTAGAGATAACGACAAAAGCAACCAGCAAGCTCATCGGCGCTCGTGCCGCGCACGAAAGTGCGCAGAAAGAAAAATCGATCGTGAGGGGCAGATGGAAGATCTTGGAGACCAGAAAATCTCCGAAAGATCGCAATGTCGAGGCACCGCTTAGATTGCCCACACCCAAGAAGAACCGAGTGACTTCCGAAAGAGCAGTCAATCCTTCGTCCGTGGAAGAAACCTCGACGAAAAGCGTTACCGAGATTAATGCTATACCACGTCTAATTACGGTTTCATATCGTGGTGCCGCTTCCGTAGAAGAAACGGCGGCCACGACTATTGATACGACAAAAATCCGATCTCCGATATTACAAAGCCCCGCGACGTCACGGGAGGAGACGTCAACGTTGTCGAACATAGTGGAAGCTATAGAAGAAAACAGCATTGTCACAACCGTCGAGTCGTTAAAATTGGACAAATCCAACATTGAAACGACTTCTGCGACATCGGGCACCACAGACGCGTCGAAGGATTCTATGAAGGTTCACCCCACGGAATTTCCTCAAGAGGTGACGCTACCACCGACCGTCACCACGTCCGATAGCACACATTCATCATCAGCCACAACAAAATCCACAATGAAATCAGAAAAAGTGTACCCCGTTTATATTCCCGGCTCGTCGGATGAAAAAGAGAATACGACAATCGACCCGAACGACATCAGCAAGAGCAGCGTTCGGCCCCGTTACATGAAGCAGCAGCAATCGGACCAAACCATAGAAACCGTGGCGGTTTCTATGGTGACGTCGAGGACCGTCGGGCCCACCAGCAGATACATCCGGAAGAAGTCGGGCGTCTTCACGCCGTACGACGCCGTTCCCAAGACATCCACTACGGAGACGGCGTCCACGCAGACGAAGCGACGGGAATTCCGTCCGCGAACGTCGACTTATAGGAGGCACTCCGAGGTACCAACCAGCCAGCTGGTCCAGCAACCGACAATTGGACAAACGACCTCCGGCGTCACCGTCACCCCGAAGCCGACTAACTATAACGTTCAAATTGTCACGCCTAGCGCTCAATCCTTGCCCTCCGGTCCGTTGGTCAGAGTGAGGGTCGATATCACAAACAACACCACCCCGTCCGGTGTCACCGGAAGTAGCAACGGTAGCAGCGGCAATTCCAACATTTTCAATCCCACCAAGAGCACATTCCTCACCGCGAATACCACCACACTGTTGGAGCAACTACGAAGTACCGTGGCACCGCTCTTGAACGACTTGGGTAACAGGACCCCCATTTTCTCCGGAGCCTACTCCAACGTGAATACCGTGGTGAGTAAGCGGATGGGTTTCGAAAGATCATTATTTTTATTCGACACAAAATTAAATCAACATGTGAGTCTTAATTGTGTCTTATAATATCTGTAATTGAAAAATAGGTAGATTCTAAGGTATCTAATTATTATATAATATATATATATATATATATATATATATATAATTATATCTAATATTATATAATATATATAATATTATATAATAGTGTAATATACTATATATGTATTTATGCGGAAGTGTCTTATATGATATTATCTACTTTGTGAAATATTTTCATTAATTAATTTTACAACTCAATATAATATAATTTAAATTTTTGTTAACTATGTCATTGTAAAAAAAGATATCGTTTGTTTATCACAAACAAAATATCTTAAACCGCACGATAATTAATTGCAAGATACTGAAATATTAGACAGAGTGGTAGATTTGTAAATAAATTAAACACTCTGTTACTTTATTATCATTAAGATATTATAATTAGTTAAAAAGAATCATGATGTAGCTTTTACATTTACATAATACATTTATATACATTAATATATTTTTTCTACATTTCAGGAGGAAATATATATGTTAAAATATATAATATTTTTCTGTGAATAGAATTCAGCCCCCAGAATAACACCAAACGGTTCGCCGCCGAGATTCAGCGCGAGATACAAAGGAGCGGAATTGTTTGTAAGAAAACCATCTGTTGGTCAACCATCTGTGATACCATCAATCACAACATCGTCGACTACGGCCTCAACACCGATAGAGGTAAGACTTTTGAGGATTTTGGAGCGAATTTTATGAGAGAAATGTCATCGAGGAGAGACGAAAGCTTTTCTTGTTTATTAATGCATATTGTATAATCATCTTCCTATTACATGTTATGTATTCAATCGAATAGAAAGTAATTCATAAACTTGCCAGCTTTAACTTTAGGCTTTAATAGCAACAATTTTTGCAACGACACGATTTTATTTCATGATGCGCTTTTTCTTCTTATTTTATGATAGATATACGTATTTATCATAATCTCGTATTACACATATATGTGATATATTCGTAATAAACAAAAAAGACTTTTATTCTTAGAAGCGGTAACAACGATGTTGCGAATTTATGATAGTTATAAATATATACTTTATATACATATATGACAATATTATATTTAATTTAGCATTATCTCAAGACAATTGAAAAGTATCCCTATTTTATATAAGTATAAGTCCCTTAATACATATGCATATATGTATACAATAATGTGCTACGCCACTCCACTGTATATGGAATGTTCTTTTTATATAGTGAAAAATAAGGTTAGATTTTAATGAGTCATAATATTAAAAAAAAAAAAAACGACGGCAAAAAAATCCAGGTAAGGCGATATGCGAGCCGAACGCGTTAATGGTTCCCTTCAGAAGAAGTTACGTGAGGTAATTTTCTGTGCTTAAAAGGTGTTCCCTACGAAGGTACCAGAGGATTCCGAAGCAGTCGCACCGCCATCGTGGACCAACACTATCATCTCAACTTCATCGAGCGATCTCGTACTTAATCATATCGATGCAAACAGCCTGCGTTAATCTGACTATCCTTTCATTCATAATAAGATACCGTCACGCGCTCGTTCTCTTTTTTTTTTTAGCCGAAGTATAACGACCGTCGTACGAGTTACAGATGCTTTTTCCAAATTATATTAACAACAGCTTGAATTTGATATAGTCTATATTCAACTGTGAATATCAACGCACTAAAAGAGCACATTTCTCTTGCTTTCAAAGAGCACATCAGCACAAGCATAATCATCGCACAAACGATCTATTGGGTTGAGGTCGATTTATAAAGATCATTAAATATCACGTTCTAACACTTAGGAAAAGGAAAAAGAGATTTATTAACTTCGAGGAAAATTAATGCACGGTCATCGACCATGTCACGTTATTTCACAACACTCACGTATCATACACTTATATATGTGCAAAATATTGTATCATATAACTTTATATTTTTCTATAATAAATGTATTGATTTCTTAGCATTGCACGCGATTAGCAATTGTTTGTCCTTACTTAGCCGCATTAAAATAATTACAGTTTAAATCTGCAAATATTAATTTGTTATAAAGAAGAATTAAGTTTTTTACTAAGAAAGCGTGAATAAAACATTAAATATTCATTTCTAGTTTATTTTTTATACATACATTTTATACATTTTTTATACATTTATTTTTTATACATTTTATACATAGTTATTTTAGCTAATTTTTTATACATATTACAAATAGGATTAAATTGAAAGAGCAATATTGAAACGTTTTAAGCAAATACACGCGTGATATTTTTTATAATATTACTTAATCTACGTCAACTGATGTAAAAATCACATACGTTTAAATATTATATATATAATGCAAAAAGTAAAATAATTTACTGACTTCAATAGCAATTACAAGAACCGCAAGAAAATATTTACGATCACAAAAAATCGTACTACATGCTATTTTCATAATAATTGGATTGCTCATACGAAAATAATTGTAAAAGTGCCATATCTTTTATTATTGCCGTAATAAAATTTTTAATAAAGCGTCAAAAATATATCGCAATGTTTCGATTCAATTCTTTTCATAAAGCTAAAAGTGCATGTATCTTTGTGATTCTTGAGTTGCTTTTAATTATTTCAAATTCCGACAATGTAATATAAATAAACTTTTGTATCTTGCTAAGTGGTCAAAGAAATTGTCAACATATGTGTAATAAATTCACAGACATTTGTTTCGCTATCTGTCTCAGCATCTATCATTCATTTCTGTCTGTATCGCATCTTTATCTGTAATTCAATATTCTGTTTCGCAAATAACTGTGTATGCTTCAATGTCGTATCTTCAGGACACATACATACATATGCAATATCTATCTCGATTCTATTAAGACATTTTGCATGTTACGTCTCATTAAGAATATCGCTCTTAGGCAGCGAAAAGTGAAAGTGCACATTCGTGCATAACAGACGTATACAGTGAGCATTCTACATATCCTCTATCTGCCTGTAACACATGATTAAGGATGATATAAAATATAAATTACAGGAGGCCGAATGCGCAATCGTTATCGCTCATTCTTTTTGTTTCTCACTTTTCTATTCCTCCTTTACTAATTAATTCTGCATTTACTGTACAATTCTCTTCCACATATTTCTTTCTTATGTTAAAATGTATTAAAACGTCGAAACGCTTACGTCGAGAATTAAATTAGTTTCGCATGATATATAATAATTCCGCGTGACGTTGAGTGGCCCTCGTACTTCGCACGTGCCGCGAACATTTGCCGTTTTCGAGACTTCCATCGGGCAATCATGCGAGAAATTGTTAATGCAATACTTCCGTAATAATGTAATAGCGAAAGTACGTCCAGTGGAGGCCTCTGTAAGATGCAAGGTAAGAGCCGGCAATATTCTCGAAGACGAGAAAAAGATATCGGAGACGAGAGGGGAACTAGTCTCTCCACCGTTTCTACGTATCCTAGGAACGAGTTTCACGGCTGTTACATCGAGACATTTCATTCAGAAACAATTCCTCTTGCACTAGTTCGTACATGTACCTAGAGATGGTGTATGCTCACATGTTCTCTCATCTAATGTCCATTTGTCCATAATTATATGTATTTGCGTTAGGCCATAAAAAATTTTTCATGAAGTAACATGCTAATCGCAAGAAATATTGTATATCACACCTAACTTGCGTTGTGTATGTGCCGTTGTATTTATTTAAGTACACAATTGCACATCTGTAAATAGAACAGTCAAAGTGTATTAACTCTTAAATACGCCAGCTATCGTCGTTGTTCAAACTGTGATCAAGCATTTTTCAGCTTTAATCAAATTTTTAGCAAGCAGTTTAGTAAAGCTTAAGCTTCTCTTAAGTTTCTCGATTACGACGATGGCGAAGTGTTTAAGGATTAAACACCGCTCTCAACCTGTAGATTACACGCGTACAAAGCGTTAACCAGTCTGTTAACCCAGTCTGTTTGAGACCGATCTGTCACCGTAATTGCACCAAAGTGTGTACAGCACTTGCACGCACCGAATTTCTGATTGCAGAATTCCGGTTCGGCACCACCCGTTGACATCAACAGCCCCGGCGAGCCCAGATTCGTCACTTTTTATCAGGCATTAGAGTCGGCTAGCATAAGAAACGAGAATCTGGGCGCGGACGACGTGTCTCAGCGGCAAAAACTAACTGGCGTGGTAACGAAGGTAGACTCTAACGCTACTGTATCTAACGGCGCCAGTAACGATATTGCTAACAACAATGACACCAACGCATCAATCACCGCGACTACATCCTCCCCAGATACTACCACCGTAGACATTACCACCACCGCTCAGTCGGCAGACAATTCGCTCGCTTCGACATTAGGTACGGAGAGTAGTCCCGAAACGACCCGTAACCCGGAAACCATCACGACCACAATACAAACCCCCGCAAGTTCGGACACGAGCGGGGGAGAAACGACTCCAGCCCCCACCTCGGAATCGCCCGGGACTACCGTCTCCGCTAACACAATAACAAGTACACCGCCGTCCGATGTTCCGAGCACTACGGAATCTCTCACTACGACCGAAATCACCACGAGCCAAGCATCGACGAGCGTCGCCAATGTTAAGGCTTTGGACGCGTCCTCCACGGAATCGATCCCCGACGATGTTCGATCCACCGAATCGGTGGACAACACGAGCACCGAGACCACGGAAGTAACCGTCACCGAAATGGTGATGAACGCGAACGTGTCCATGCCCGCCTCTCGGAATCTACAAACGGCGAGTGACATACCGGACGCAACGATACCTTCCTCGATTACTGAGAGCGTCATTGTAACGCACATACCAGCGGAAGTGACGACTATGCCCGCGACTAATGATACAACGGAGAGTATCGAGACGAGTACCGTGCAGTTCGAGGAAACGACACCCCCCACAACGGAAGTGAGCAACATGGTCGAGAACGATGTAGATACGAATACGGTACAATCCGACGTAACGATTCCGTCCCAAACGACGGAAACTACGAGCACCGCCGAACCGACCACGACGGAAGAAATGTCAAACGACATAATTGAAATTCGTGCGACGGTATCGCCCGTCTACACGACTACATATCGCACGCGACTGATTGATTACGCACAGGATATTCTATCGCGTTTACAAAACCGCTTACAAATCTCCACGCTCAGGACAACGGTCCGAGAACCCACCGTTATAAGTGTCCCTTCCGAGCTGTCCAACGTGATACCGGATTCGTCGTCGACGAATACGGGGAGCACGATACAACCGGAAGAGACGACTACTGTGCAGGAAACAACGATATCGCCAGACGTAGAATTGGTGCAGACCACGACAAACGGACCGGAAGTGACCACTCAAAATACAGTAGGTTTGGACACTGCGCCCCGGATCGCACAGAATCAGTCTAACGGCCAAGAGGCAAACGCACGGGATACGCTGGATTCGAGTACAACAACGAGACAGACGTTATCGAGTAACGCGAGCTTAGATCCTGAATCGACGACGACGACGACTCAGAATACGCGAGCTCCATCGACGGACGGAGAAGTTGCGACCACCACACCGACGCCAATCTCGCGACTTGTCGAATCCGTTACGGAGAACGACCCCCGGTCGTCTAATGATACATTACTAGCTGAGCTAATGACTATCGCGAAGACTCTCTTCACGGAAGCGATGAACGACACGCGGCAGTCGGGTCAGACTGAAGCCACTGAAGTAGGAAACGATAATAAAAACCGCGTGTCCCCGAACAACTTGTCAGAGGCTACCACTGTATTTTCTGAACTTTTGAGACCTTTAGAAAATAATACCGAACGTATAGACATCACTACGTTCGGTGATGATTTGTCCGGAAACGAAAGAGAAGGGAATTCTGATCGCGACCCTGTTGTAGGATCGAAAGTTTCGTTAATGGAATCTAACGCGCGACCCGCCAATGTTGAAAATCCAGTTGATGTAGGTGATATTACTACAATGTCCCTTTCGCAGATAAAAACCGAAACACCAAACACCGTTACGGTTACGGCTAGCATGAGTTCTGAACTAATTACTAATACGCCTGACTCACAATTATCTAATCCAATTGAAGCATCTAATAATAATACCGAACAGCAAACTGTTGTTACTGTTCCAAACGACAATGCCGAATTGTCGAATACTAATAATCCCCTAATGAGTTCTGTTACTGCAAATACAGAAGGACAGCTGTCTGATATAAATGAGTCCACAACCTCGGACATGGAAACAGTAATGGAATTAACCAGTAGGATAGCTATTACGGAAACAAACGTTGTACAAACGGATGCCGTAGATACCACTAATCAGACATCGGAACCCACCACAACGGTGCCTGCATCTGACATGCAGGTCACAAATGATCATTCCCTTGTAACAAACGCATCGGATATCGCTACGACACTTCCAACGGTATCCGATGATAACGCAATCAACACGAGCGACACTCAGCCATTTGGTACAGAACCTCCCATTACGGAATCAGTTCGTAACTTAATAAGCTCCATCGACACCACCACTAATCGATTCAACGACATAACAACAAACACCCCTCATACGCTAACCGATCTCGTAAGCGAGATGCCAAATCTTATTGCCCGTTTCCAGGATACAACGGCAACAACAACAACAATCGCCCAAGGGACGGCTGATTCAAGAATCATCCAACCTGAGCAAACGACAGAAATCATCACCACCACCACCATCACCACCACCATTCCCACAACATTTTCAACCGCACCAACAACCGATTCCACCACATCCCCCTCCACTGACATGACAACCATTCCGCCTTCATCAACCGAATCGACGACAGCGACCACGACGACGGAAACCACGACAATGACATCGACCACGACCTCGACAATGACCTCCCTCCCAACGACATCAACAGAAACAGCGACGCGATCCAATTCCACTACTACCGTCATGTCTGAAACGACCGCTACGACTATCGACATAAATGAGAACCTTATCTCCACCGAGACATCAACTGATGCTTCGACGCAAGGCACAACAGTCACCACAAACGAAACGGAAGATCTGAATGAATGAACGGTGGAGAAGAAACGACGACAACCACAACCACAACGAGTGCCGCACCATCCACGACCACGCCGACGACCACGACCACTATGTCGACCGCGCGGACTACTATACTCAATCGAGTACCGCCATCTCCGGCGTTCACGCCTTTCGGCCCTTTGAACACCGAGCCCTATTTGGGACGTTTCGGCGGCAGCCAGATGACGCCGATCCCGCGACCTAGCTCTTCCAAGGCACCCGTCCGCGACTACTTGATTTATGGGATTTACCCCAACAAGACCATCGTACGGAAGCGGCCGGAGGACAATCTGATCGATGCCAGAAATGTGGACAGCCCCTACGTGATATTTGGCATCTATCCGGACGGCAGATTAGTCCGGAAGTTCCCCAACGGGACGATAATACCGGATTCGCCCAGGAACCCGGTCGAGGTTGTGTTTACGCTTAGAACTACCACTACTACTAACCGACCAGCACCCAGGCCGTATTACTATAACCAGGCTAACCAAGCAGGCGTTTATAACAACCAGTACCAAGCCCCGGTGTACTCTAGTAACAAAAGACCCGTGGACGTGCTGACGGGAGGTCTCCAGAGCCCCAGCCCTCTCGATTTTGGATTTATCGGTAATGCGATCGGCATTGCCCCTGGAGGTGTCCTCAATTTCGCGGGACCACTTGGTTTCCCCGCTACCGTCCCGAGCACAAACAAAATGGTATCTCTATCTCACCTCTTCATCAAAACTGTACTCTATACGCGCAACGAGCTAGATTAATTAAGAATCGAATCGCGATTGAGAAGCCACGTTTCTTGGCTCTTGTGATAGAGATCGTTGCCGCGCGAAAGTAGACTGGTTTAGCGTTAATAGAAACCGGAATCTTATTAGAATATTTCTTCTATTTCTATATTTCTTCTATTTGCATTTTCCTTATAATTTCTATACCTTTATAAAAATGCAAATTTATTAATTATTTTTTTAAACTTGTCGTTATTCTAGTTATTTCGTATAGTTACATTTTGAACCGCAGTCTGAAATTAAAATCGCATTAATGTAACATCAATTAAAAAGGAAATAATCATATCGCAAAATGCGGATATACATTTAATGATCAGTATTTCTGATTTTTTTTGTTCCTATTGAGTATAAAATATAGTAAAGTTTCGTAACACGCTCTCTTTCTCTCTCTCTCTCTCTCTCTCGCTGAATAATTATTATATAATGATAAATTAACAGCTCAGTTTCTTGGTATAACTTTGTAACTTATCTTTATAGCTTCCTTTCTGACACAACTTTCTTCTTATAATATATTCACATTTACAGTTTCAATGTGAATTTAATGAAATACAATTTAATACTTTTTTCCAGGTCAAAAAATATTGAATACTACAACGGCTGTACATCGTTGTAAATTTGTAAATAGTTGTGGCAAATTTATAGCACTTTTGTTTGCTCATTTGCACTTTGGACATTTTTACGCACTGTATTTTATAATATATATATCATGTGCAATATCTGATTACATACATTTCACTCGTACTAAATATCTGACATATATCACAATATATAAAAATATTTTCGAAAGATTTATCGTTACAGATTTTTGTGTAAACGCGCACGACATGTGTTATACCAAGGTTGGAAAGAAATTATTTTTATTATTTTTCTAAATAATTTCTTATTAAAGCTTGTGTTAAAAAATATTTATATTTTAAAATCAATTATATAAATAATTGTATAATATTTTCTTGATACTTATTATGGGATAGTCCGACTATTTTCAGATCAATTTGTTAAAAATGATATTTTGCCTTTTAGAAAAATTTCATATTATATTTTAAATCTTTATTATATCTTTAATATCTGTAAAATTTGTGTGAGCAGATACTTAAATAATTTTTACAATTTTAAAAGTTACAAAGATTCAAGATATAATGAAAGATATTAAAAGGCATGAAAATTTTATGTTTTTATTTGAGACTAAAGAATTGCATCAATATCATTTTCTTCGTACTATTTTCTTAAAGAATACAGCAAGTTTATGAACTTTATTTCTATTCATTATATTAAGGTAATTTCTCTAAAATTATTAAAATATAAAATTGAAATATTTCAGAGCAATATTTTATTAAATACCCAAATGGGTAGTGTACCGAATGCAGCATCGCCGAACAGTAACTTGCAGAATAATGGTCAAGTACAAGGTCCAATCGGTCCTTCTATCGTTCAAGATCGCGAAAGAAATGAAGCTTCTCGATCAAGAGTGACATCTGATCAACGCAGCTCTGTATATATTGGACAGGTAAAAATATTATGAAACTTTATTGTATTGATTAAGTGTATTTATAAAAACAGAAAAAATTTAAAAGCAATCATAAATATTTCAGGATAAATTTATTAATTATCAGATTGACGGTGTACCTAATATCAATCCACAAGTTGTTGATGTAAGAATAAATTCAGTGGCTGTAAGTAATCAAATTATAACTAATAATTATAATAATGCTTAATGAAATTTGTTTCTATTAAGCAAGAAAAAATTCTTATTAATAAATATTTTTTTTCCGTTTGTTAAAGAAAATTAAAAAATTACTCAAAATTATTTGAAAATTATACAGATTGCTTTTACTTATTATTTTAATTATTAATTTATTGTATAAATTTGTTATTTTAGACATCTGTGAACGAAGGTACAGCGTCATCGTCTACGCCGTCGTTTGAAAATTTGCTAAATAATCAATCGGGTGGTGATGTGATAACAGCACCTCCTGGTTTCCCTTGGAGAGATCCCCTCGATCAAATATTCGGTATCACCACTAATTCACCTGTACAAACAGCATCTGTAGCATCAAATATATTAGTACGTGTTATATAAATAATAAATAATATTCAAAATTAATTATTAATATTAAATGTTATTAAGATGATCAATACTAAATTTATTAAATAATATATTTCTCAAAATTATTACATTCATTTAAAAGAAACTAGAGTTAAATAACAAACAATCTCTATTATTTAATAAATTTAGTATTGATCATCTTAATAACATTTAATATTAATAATTAATTTTATCTTTCAATTTTTATCTTTTGTTAAGAAATTCTCTTTATTATTTACAGGATGAGCCAACCGAAAGCAACGCGCCGATTATGTCTCGCCCCGTAAATCCTTTGGTGGAGGTTTTCACGCCGGTCACGAGCGGTGCACCCCCAACATCCTCAACTACAAGTACCGCCGCAACCACTCCTACCACTACTACCGCCGCAACCACTCCTACCACTACTACCGCCGCTACCACTCCTTCTACTACTAGTACTACTACTAGTACTACTACTACAGTAGCACCGACAACCGCAGCAACGACCACTGCTGCTACCACCACTACTACCACCACCACGACAACCACTACAACAACTACTACCACTTCTACAACAACCACCCCCGCACCGACTACGACAGGTCAAACTACGACTTCAACGACAGGTACTATTTTTATTTAAAAGCCGCTTTCTTTATAATTATATTTATTCTGTATTGTGTACAAAACAACAGCAAGTCCAGGAACAGTTCCATCATCTTCTACTACACCGGCAATATCTGCGGATTTATTAAATGGATTACAAGCGAACACGAGGGAGAACGCCTTTGGTACTACGTTCGATGATTTGGCTTTCCTAAATTCATTGGTAAACTTATTTGTAATTTATATAGCACACATGCGCGCGCGCGCGCGCGCACACAATCTTTTTAATATTATTTCTTCTCTTAAATATTGAAAAATGTTAAAAGTTTAATTTAACTGTATAATATACAATGAATTATATATCTAAATTAATAAGTTAATATAGAAAAAACAATTTTCTTTTCTTCCATAGTTACAGAATAGTAACAACATTGTCAAATCTACCACACCAAAAACGCTAAGTGACGTAGAACAAATATTAGCAAATAGAGTGAGTAAAACAAATACAATATCTCTAATAAACGTAAGTAGAAAATAGAAAATAATTAATAATATTTTTTGTAAATATATATTTTATATTATTCCTACAAACGTCGAACATTAATAAACAAGAAAAGCAAAATAAATTAGCAATATGTAATTAATTAGCAATATGTAAATTTAACAAACATTTTTTTGCTTAATATCTTTTTATCTCTTATAGATTTTGTCGCTTGCACTGGCTAATCCTGGACCGACGCGATCGCCAAAAGCGATTCAGACTGCAAATTCGAATACAAATGTAAACACGATCAAAAATCCGTCACCTAAGTTGTCTTCCGAGCCAATAATAATCGATTTATTACCACTTTCGTCACCGCGAAGCATTAGCAGTAGCACAAAGAGGTACAGTGAAGCAACCAGGACGATACAAGCCAGTACCGCGCCAACAACTAGAGCACCAGTCGTTATCACTGCTAAGCCTAAAACAACAGCGAGACCCAAGGCCACCACCCCTCGTGCGACTACAGGATTCGGCGCGGGTCTATGGAAAGCGTTGTTCGGCGGCAACTTCTTCGAAGCGACCACAGCGGCGAGTGTTGCGAGGAACACGAAATCCGCGATTAAGCCGACGACTCCAAAACCAATTGGAATTAGCCAGAAACCGGCACAGGTTACAAGTCACATAATGTCCGCGATTAAACCGCAAACGACGCCTAGAAACGTAGATATCTCGGACATCCAAGTAGCCTCGAGCACATCTTTGTCGGATAGTATTATTTCTGCATCGACATCAAGCTCGATTTCAACTACGCTGTTAAATAATCCGAATCCTAGATTAAGCGACGTCCCTACGTCCACGTATTCGCCCGAAGACGACGCGAAATTCTTGGCTGCGCTTCTACGAGCCGTACAAACGGGTAAGTCGAGATCTCGTTTCTTTAGTTTTTTTTTTTTTTTTTTTACGAGATGTTTTAATAAAATACACATTTAATTATATGATTAATTTGCTCGGACTACCCTCTGCTCGGACTATCCTCTGGAGCAACTCAGTACCAGGTTGCTGCTCGCCTTAATGATGTTTATGAAACATTAGCGTTAACGATTCACGTTTATAATCCATAAACTATTATACAATTTTTAATCATCTTTGCATTTTTCTAAGTTCTTAATATTTTAACTTTTAGAATTCGAATTATTAATCTTCATTAATTCTCAATAAATTCTTTTATTTTAGATACGAAATCGAGTACTTCTGCGCCAGCACGTGGACTAAGTGAGGACGATGAAGCCTTTCTCAGAGCGATTTTAAGTAATCAACCTAACATTTTTACTACAACCACAGCACCGTCATCCACTGAAGTAAATCCTGCCGCTTTATTGGCTCTACTCCTAAAGCAGCAAGGCATAGAACCATCAACACCAGCAACGAAACTTAGGGAACAATTACAATTAGCCGTGAGTAATATTTTTTTGGAAACATTTTTTGAAATTCTATTATTTATTAAAATTGTTGGCATCCTTGAATCACAGAGCTTAGGTTCGACTATCCAGCCAGATGCGACTTCGAGTCAAACAACGACCACTAGACCAATCAGCACGACGAGAAAAGCGACACCGAGACCATCTGTAAGACCAAGACCATCCCTACAGACTACAACTTGGTCTCCAAGTTCGACATACCCCCCTCCTCTCTTCGGAGGAAGTGGATCTTCCGATAGCGGGCTGGCTACCGCTACCAGAGCTATAGGCAGATTCCTTGGTGCTGCCATTTCGGTGAGTAAATTTGATGAAAATTGATGACCTTTTTTTTAATTAATTCATAAAGAAATTAATATAAATTTAAAATTTTTCTTATTTTAATTTGATGAAGACGTTTATAAATCGATATCTTCGCAAAGTTTGCATAGATTCAAAAGTTATCTTACTATTAAAAAATATTATTTCAAAACATGTGTCATTGTATGAAAAATATAAAACAATTACAAAATTATTTTGTGGAAATAAATTATAAAAAATAAATTAAAATATTCTTTTTATTTATCTTCTTTTCTGTGTTTTTAAAGTTATGATGAATTTTATTTTTTATATCATAAATGTTGAGATAATTATTTAAAAAGATTATTTCTTTAATCAGTTATTAATATTTTTATTTTGGCTTCTAGGGTGCAGCTCAACAGCTACAATCTTTATTAAGGAATGGTACCAGAAGCTCTGCCGGCTAATATTAGAATAAAGGATTACATACATCAATTTTTGCTCAACCTGAAAACAAATGTCAGGATTGAGATTGTAATCTAACTAATATTATGCTTGCTATTGTTGAAAATACAATGGCAACATGACAGCAATGCTAGAAAATTCAATCAAGACAATAGCAGAAAATAAACTTGCTCAATTATTATGAACTCTTATGGACGTTACTATGGACGAAAAAATTGCTCTCAAAAACACATATTTTTAAAATTTTTTTGATAAAAGAAAAATTATTACGGACGATACTATGGATGAAGAAAACTCAAAAACATATTTTTCATTTTTTTAATAAAAGAGGACATTTATTATTTTTCTCAAAATAAACGAATCAAATCTATAAATATCAATTAATGTAACTTTTAATAACTTTTAATATTTTACTTCTAAATTGACTGTTACAGTGTACAAAGACATATTCGGTGTCTTGATTGAACATTTCTTGCGGACTTCTAATCTAAGAAACGAGAATATTTTATTCGTCATTGTTAATTATTACTTAAATTTAATATTGACACATTAAAAATTGAAAAAGATAACTTCACTTTTTGATGATGACTACGGTTATTTAGAATTTACAATTAAATAAAAATTTTTAATTTAAAGTAACTCGATCTAACATAAAGTAAAGAATATAAAAACTTTATTTATAACAATTTAAATGTAAAAAATGCGACGTATAGATACAGCAGACGCATACAAAAAATAAGGACATATTGAATAATTTTTTTTTTATATCTTTTTAAATAATTTCACAATGAGGTCTCCTCTGTTTAGTAATAATTGGCAACGACGGTTTCGAATATCGAAACTATCCTAAAAACTTTGCAAACATTTCCAAAGTATGCTTATCGATTTTCCTCTGGGTGTACTTGTGGAGATGTTTGTAACGAATGTCATAATAAGATAATATACTAGCGCAAAGCCCTTTTTTCATATCGTTAATTATGCTTTATCGATGTGTCTTGCCTCTACGCTTTTTCCCTTATTTTCTTATGTTCTTCTTTTGTACGGTGAAACGGTGAAGTGTGTGCTCAATAGATCGTTTATATTCGAACACTTTGCATGCGGATGATTCTACGGATACAAGATGGAGTTTAGCAAAAGCTGCGTTAACTTTGTGACAGACAATTTAAACTTTTAAAGTGTTTAACTGTAGGAAGTTAAATTGTAGAATACATAGAACTGCACACATATCATCTGTATGCAAAGTTTTAAATAAAAAATATATATGCTTCGAGTAATACTTTTGCAATTTCAGAAGAGAACTTTTATTTCTTCAACATCTCGCGTCCCGCATTTGCGATTATTAAAATATCATACGCAAATTGTACATTATTATTAAACTGTTTTTAGGTGTACTGAAGATAGCGTAATGTAATAGTATTTTTTTAATATATGTGAATGATGTTAGAGAGCGATTGAGAGAAAAAGAAGAGAAAGATTGAGATTTTGGGGCAAAATTGATTCTTTGAACCAATCTATATGGGCAACCGAAAAATTTAAATAGCATCATAAAAATATTAATCATAAATATTGTAAATATTAAAAATATTAATTATAAATTATAAATATTTAAAAAAGGAATCTCATTTTCGAGATATATTTTATCTAGTTCATGTTTGGATATGCTTTAGACTGTTTATTCGCTCAAAAAGAGAAAGCTATCTCGAATATTGGCCTCGTTCCCATTCTGAGTTCGATACATGATTTGTAATTGATAAGATATATAGGCAAAACTTAATGTTTCTTTTATATAGAATTTCCACTAAATAATTAATTAGATGTTTCTAATGTAAGTAGTTGTTTGAAAGTTTATTTAATAAATTTTTAACTCTCGTTTCATAATCTTATAAGTAATTCTCAGTCGCTTATAATTACGTTTATCTCATAAATTTCTTTCTTAATATAATGGAACAAGATTTGCATATACGTTAAAATAATACGGGACTATTTTATAATTTTTCAACTAATAGTCTCGTCAACGAATTGAATTATTAACCAGCGTTTCCGTTAACGCTATATTCATATATATATACTTAAATGATGAGCACAGTTCAAAATTAATTTAAATTTTTAATTTGATCATTTATAACATTAGTACTTTATATTGTAGAATATAACTTGATGTTGCTCTGGTATATCGAGTAAAAATTAGTTTTATATACATATTAAAATTTGCGGTTTCAAAATGTAAATTTATGCAGCATGGATCTATGCAAGTAAAAAAAAAAAATACAAACAAAATATTAGGATTTCTGCGAAGAAAGGCAAAATTGTTTTCGGATTAAAATAAATAAGATAAGCAAACAATTTTCCAACAACAGAACGCAGCGGTGAGTAATTAAATGTGTGCTGCATATTAAAAATGGTTGTGAAAATATTAAAATAAATACATATGTAGAATTATCTACTCATCTACTATATATAATGAATACAATTTATCAATCGAAACAGTTTGTTATAAAATCTATTTAATTGGCTGCGTAAGTAAAATGCCATACACCGCGATATAGCTCCACTCATAATTTATTTACTTATGCTATGTACCAGAAATTCGTAAGAAAATCAAATAATATTTACGAGCAATAATTGTCTTTTTCTTTTCATTTAAGCCGCATATAATATATATATAATTCAGTCTGTCTATATGTTATGATATAGTTACACATCCAGTGTAAATCTGTACATATGTATAATCGGTTAGTCCTACATTTTATATCGTAATAAACATAAGTTATATCTCTTTCTAATATTAGTTAACATTACGGCGCCAATTGTATTACAGTAAAGTATCTCGATATATGTAGGTAATGCCTTTCTCGCAGCTTCTGTAATATTTATTCAAAATACGCATCGAATGTCTTGTAATTATAATGTACATTTGCATATTAAACAACTTCTCATATTAAACACGTATTAATCTTTATCGACCCACAATCTAATTATGCTTGCTGCGTAATTGCAAAAGTATTTATTAAAAATGTATATATCGAACGTTCTTTAATTGTGATATACTTGTACATTAAATAACTTCTCATATTAAACGTATATTACTTTATTTACATTTGAGCGACGGATACAGAGTAACTTTTATCGAATTGTAATACTAGTTACTATCTTTACCGAAATAAACATTATAATCAAGATATCAGTAAGTAACATGATTAAAAATATTTAAGAGAAGTATGACACAATTATGCAATGCGTATTTCTTAAACTTCATTAAGTATCTATAAATAGACAAAGCGGGGCGATAACATGTTAAATCAATATAAAATAATTTTACAGAAAAAGAAATAACAGAAAAAGATTCATCGAATTCATTATATATATATATATATTTCATATTATATATATATATATATATATATATATATATATATATATATATATATATCTCATATATATTAATGTTTCTTCGAAAAAATATAAATGATTTATATTAATGATTTAATATACAATAGAGCCAGCAAATAAATATAAAGCTTAAATTCTGGTACGTTCTTACATATGATTTAGCACATTATTGCCTCAAAAATCTTCAATTGTTTAAATCCTTAACAATGACAGGTCTAATTCTGATTGTATACACATAGAAAGAGAGACGAGATAGAATGAATATAATGTACATAAAACTTATTATAATGCTGTAACTGCACACCGTGACATCTCCGATCTCAGTCATATTTTCTATTGTCTTATTTTCTTTACTTCCATAGTAAATGTAATTTTCTAAAATGCAACTATAATATTATATATACGCGTGTATGTATTTATGCGTTAGCACAAAAGTTTAACAACTAACAAAAGACTAGTGCTGGCTAATCCTGCATTAAATATATAAAATTCTTGTTGATAAAATAGTTATTTCGCAAAATAAGTTTTATGTAAAATTCTTATAAACATAAATATCAGTCATTACTAGTTATTATATTATATATAAATTCCATGCACAATACAATTTTTAGAAATAACTTTTTAATACATTAAAATATTTTCGATAAATATCAAAAGAATATTATTTTTTATCAGTTTTATCATCTTACTAACACATTGTTGTCCGATTGTTTTAAAAAATTAAGGCCTGTCACCAGTTCTCTTCTATACAAATCAAAATTAAAATATATACATTTTCCATTATAAAAAATCGAATAATTATAACTAATTATTTCGCAGACTATACATTTGCTAAAGACACAAATTCGTCATGAATTAAATATTTCAATTTTAAATTGTTAGAAATTTTTATAGAAAATATAGTATACTTAGATATTTTTATAGATTATTAGTTCTTATGTTATAATTTTCCATATTAAGTCTTGACAATTAAATTTCAAATTCAATTAAAGAAAGTTGACTTAATTAAAATATTAATATAATTTTATTATCTCTATTTGTATTCTCGAATTTTATTTCATTATTTCATTATTAAGTTACTTATTTTGAAATATAACTTTCATCGTTATATAATTCTATGATTATCTGCAATATATATATATGTATATCTGGATCTTTTATCGCTGGAATATAGTTACCACTTTTACGTATTCAACAATTAAATTTATGCGCTTTTAGTTATGAATAATGATAAACTCGCAAATAGTATCCAGCTGTTGATCAATCTGTATCAATCTGACAAAGGAAATGAGCCACTTGTTCTGATTTCTTTTCTCCTTTACCTTATATAAATAAATCATTCATTTAAGGAAAAAGAGATATCAGAAAGAGTAAAGAAATCAGAATAACTAAAGATGATTATGATATGCATCTACCAGCGATGTTCGGGTGTACAGTTATAGCAATATGAATATAATGTATACATTGTATATGCAATGATTCAAGTTAAGAAGTCCAAGACAGTAATCTAAAACTGCTAAAAACTGTTTCTAAGTCCAGATTTCGGTCTTAGAAGGATCATTACTGCATTATTTGTACTGCATAACATATTTCTAGATGTACTATAAATCAGAGCATACAGATAAAATTATATCAATAATCATACTGTTCGCAATTTCTCAATAAATCATTCCTTGGTCTAACTAACAACATTAAAGAACTAATTGTAACAAAGTGAGAGATAAAATCAAATAATACAGACTACATATCTGTATATCTATGTTAGAGCTATGAATATCTAGTTACTTCTCTTATTATTTGCATTAAATCCTTAATCTTAATCAATTAATCATTTTCATGATATATTACTGTACTGTTCCTGTACACAATGTCCGGCAATACTAGTTTGACATACAACATGTACTAATACATGTGCAAAAGGTAATCTGAACTATATTAAGACTTTGAGAGTTCAGTAGATGATATTCTATATTCCAAAGGAATGATTAAAAGAGAGCATGTACAAAGGATTCGTCGTTTTAGCTTCGAGATCAACATGTACAGGAATATCCTCTACGCAGCTATAATAAAAATAAATTCGTGTTAATAAATAAATAACAAACATACATATTACAGAGTGTGATGTTTAGTGGAAGACTGTATTAAGAGTCGGTATATAAGAGATTAAACTTTTCATATTAAACTTTTTATAAACAAGGGTCTCGAGAATACAGTTGAAATATTGGAATCGGCGGTTAGATACACATTATATTATATACCTTGCATCAATACATCAGTGCAGATAATATTGTTAATAAATAAGATGATTATAAATGAAGTAAATATAATTTTTTGCAATAGTAATACATATGAAATGGCAATGTTACATAATAAGAAATATAAAAGGTACAAAAAGGTTATTAATAAATAATATAATAAATAAACGTAGAAGTGATATATAAATATATGTATAGTATAGACTAGAGTTTGATTAAACAAAAAAAAAAAAAAAAAATAAACATTGCGTACAATATTCTCAGAAGCTTGTTTAAATAATTTTTTCGTCAAATATATTAAATGTTTTTTTTTTTAATTTTATTTGTGTAAAAAATATTTAAAAGTGTAGAAATATCTATAACCCATAAATTAACAAGCATTCAAAATGCTATCAAAGAGGTAATCAAATTTCAATCAATTATTCAATGAATTACCAATTCCTTTTTACCAATTCCAAAATTGAATATTGCTACGTTTATAATACGAATTAACTTTTTTAATATTTCGTGTATAATATAAAGTTTATGAAATGCGTTATATGAAAAGCTCATTAATTTTACTATGTATTAGTAATTCATTATAAGTATACATCAATTTGTAATAAAATTATAGTAAGCAAGATAACAGAATAAAATGTTCTATAATTATATTTTTTTTTATCTGCTGTATAAAGTTGCAATGTTTTGAATCTTTCAATACCTACAACTGTATCCTTCATTACCCTTAATCTGCATAAACTTCCATTAATATTAAGAGTGCTGAGCAATATTTTATAATTTTTAATTAAATGATTTAATGAGTACATTACAGTCAAATGGATAACTTTATAAGCAGACCTAAATTAATTTTGGTTAATTTTTGCTTTAGGAATATTAAAACGCACAAAGCATGAGAGAAAAAGAAGACAGAAAAGGAAGAATTACTTCTGATACATACCTTCTATAATAAAAAATAAAATCTTAAAATGAAAACTATGACATATAGTAATTTACAATATTAAATTAAAAATTAAAAACTTAGAAAAGAACTTAAAAAAATTAATTTTTTCATTATAAAATATAAAATATAATATATAAATTTTTACATTTTTAATAAAATAATAGCGTTTTCATTTGCAGTGATTTTTAATCCGGGTTAATGCTACACTTGATACACTTCCTACAGTCTTTTTCATTCTTTCTTTTCTAATACTTACATCCTATAATTATTTCGCATAGATACAGGAAGCTATGACAGTGCAGTGGATCAAAACCCACTACAATCGAAAATACTATAAGCCTGCACTAGCTTAAAGTGTAATTTACAAAATGATTTTATCAAATCATTATATCATAATATAATAAAATTTAATAATTTTATTATATTATTAATTTTTTTGTAATGCATCAAAAAGAAAATATAAAAACATAGAGCTCCTTTATAAAAAGAGAATATAAATATTAGTTTTCATTTATTAGTTTTTAGTTTTATTTGTTATTCATTATAGGAATTGAAACAAATTATTCTGGCAATCAATTGTAGCAAACGAGAATATTTGCGTTATTCATTTGATTGAGTGATATTCATATGTAATGTATATCAAATTCAAGAGCAATATTTATTAATTAGGTAAAATTAGATAACTCAATATATTCCTCATACAAAATATGGCATTCTATCAAATACTGATCGCGATGCATTTAGCAGATTGTTACAGAAATATTGCTCCCGAACTTTTCGATTACTTGTGATATAACGATTACTTGTGATTATATTCTATTATGAATATGTTTGCATGCTTATACGCTTATGTGTAATTATACATACGTATTGTATACAGCGTGTCAAAATTAAATATTTTTTTAATATCATGTCTGAGCGCGAAATGTTAGCTTTAATTAGTCAACTTTAATCGTTAATAATTTAAAAATTATTATAGCCTTGATATTTTCGTATTAGAATTTTCGTCTTAAAATCTTACAAAATAAATTAAAATATTTACCGTCATTTTTGGGATCTGTATACATATGGCTGTATGTATGTGTATATTAGAGGTGTATATTAGAGATGTGTATATTAGAGGTGTGTGTATGTATGTATGTGTGTGTGTGTGTGTGTGTGTGTGTGTGTGTGTGTGTGTGTGTGTGTGTGTGTGTTATACACATACATAAATTTATTAACATAATAACGCATATATTTCAGCAATGAATATATTCAGTATTTTCTATTCATCAATTAAATGCTCAGCACTCTTATTTTATAATGGATTCAATTTTATACACAAACCGTTGGATAAAGATGGAGTGATTAACGTATGAGGCAGGTAGCACAGATACGTTGAGGCCCGATGCAGTCATCGTGGCAAAAGGCACCACACTGCCGACAAATTACCATAGCTCCTCGCATATTACATTCACACGGGGGTGGCGGATCGCCGCCAATAATCATGCCGGGTGCACCTGGTTCCGCACCGCCCGTCACCCTGCTGTCCGCGCCTCTTGCTTTCAGAGTGACGGCTTGATGAGAACCCTCCCCAGCGCTCGCCGGTCTTCCTCGTACCAAATGAACCCCAACGCCCATCCCTGCGATTTGCGGCGGTAATGGAGGAGCAGATGATGCTCTCGGTGCACTGTCCCCAACTCCCGTCCTTTGTACAAGTATGTATTGCCCGAGACCATTGCTGGTGGTAGAACCAAGTTGTGCTATAGGAGTACTTTCTGTAACCTACAAGGCATTAGGAATTTGATTAATAAAATCATTATAAATATGGAACGTAACTTGAACTGGTATAATACATGTTCAAGTTACTTTTGACCGACAGTAGAAATATATTATTAAATGACATTTCAATTATAGCACTCTAGTCCGTTTGGTCGCATAATAAGTGCGCTTGTTCATCTTTATCATCATATTTGCATAAATAAATTTTTGTAGCATTGCATGTCGCTCGTTGCTGATAATTAAAGTCGCACTATCTCTACTGCGTTTAGAAACCCAAAACTAATGTAAAGATTTGTTTATTTAGGTACCTGTATGATACCGAGATCACAAGCGACCCGTGAGATTAGCACTGTACACACAGAAAAGTATGAAATAGTATGCGTGTACATCAGATATTCAATATATATATTTCGTACAATAAAAGAGAAATGTCAAAAGATAAAGTCAAATTAAAAATATATTTATAGTAAAAAATGTATTTTGCACAGTTATTTCTTATAATGTATTTCCTTAATCTTGCTCTTATGAGATTTATTATAATTTTATTAAGATTTCTTAAAATTTATCATATTTGTTATATATCGCATCTTCTATTTGCTTTATTTATATCTCACAGAAATATCAAAATCACAAGATTAATATTAGTATATTTATCCTGAATATGACAAATAATGTATGTAGAAAAAAGCATAGGTAAATATTTATAGTGACAATTAGTATATATGCAATAAATATTACGTACTTCCGTTGATGCAGCTTGACGTGCAGTAGCAAATACGTGTCTCAACATAACTGCTTGTGTCTTATTTTGAGCTTGTTTATTGTGTTGTATCGCTTGCTGTGCTTTCTGGGGTTTGACTGTCGTCAAGGTGCGTCCGCCAGATTTACTAGTTGTAAATGCACCATCTCCTCTAGCAAGCAAACTAGGCGGTGGCTTTAAATGGGCCTTCAGTTGATCTCTATTAGGTGAACTTTGTATGACCTGAAATAATATCAGCGTTCCTACATTTATTAACGTAATGCACATTGCACGTCCGATAAATTCGTATCTTCGTAACATTCCATACATAATTTTAAATGGGATATTAAACTGATTTACCGCTTGACATATTTGATAGCTGCGTTCTAAGTTGACAGCACCCGGAGGCTCTTTTGTAGAACTTCTTGATCTACCTCCTCCTTGTTCTTTATTACTATTTCTGGAACCTCTTTGGCTACCTTGATTCGACATACGCGAAGGTCGCGACGAAACTGTTACCGACGGTCCAGCGTATTGCTGTTGCTGCTGCTGCTGCTGTGGCGTTTGCTGTTGCTGTTGTTGTTGTTGTTGTTGATGCACAGTGGCCGCGATTTGTCGAGGTTGAGCAGAAGTAGCGCTCTGGTGTTGAATAACGATCGCATTTTGCGTACGATTCTGAGATTGTACTCCCATCGTAGTCGGGAGAGTATTTTGCACTTGGCCTGGCGTCACAACGGTGTTCTGAGTCACATTACTGCGTGCACTATTATTTTGAGTACTTATTTGAGTAATGGTATCCTGTGTTCTTATCATATTAACTTGCGCGGTGTTATTTTGCTGAGGCTGAAGTTGGGCTGAGATCGTGGACGAATTATTCGCCAACGAAGACGTTTCTTGATCCGAATTAAAGCTCGTTTGTACAAATCTGATAGATTGCAATTGCGGAAACGCAATAATCGGTGGACTCTGCGACTGCAAACTCTTCATAACGCAACTGTTTCCCGGTGTGCTGATGGCTAAGCCATCAGATTGAAACGTGGTTCCTTGAACAACCGGTAATTGAATACAATTAACGGACTCCACGTTGGTATCCGTATTGATAAACTGTTGCGAAGAAGTCGTAGAGTCGGTCGTCGTGGAGGTTTCGCTGCATTCATCCTGTGTTGTTACTGTGATATTAGCTGCTACTGATCCATCAAGAGCAGCTGCTACTAAAGGCCAAGGTACCTGCAGCTCTTCTTGCGTCTTTGCAAAAATAAAGAATATAAATTAGTATAAAACTTTACAATTTTATATAATTTTATCTAATATATTACATATATACATATATACGTATTACATATATTACCATACTTTTATTTCTCAAATAAACATTGAAAAAAGATCGATCATTACTTTATCTTTATTTTAGATTATAAAAACGTATTTATGTATTTACTTTTATTTATGTTGTTATTTGTCTGTTTATATACTTATATATAAATTTGCTAGTATGTATAGAATAAAAATAAATAGAATTATTATATATTTACCCTATTATTGTTATTGATATTATTAACAGTAGGATCCACTGTCCAACTACATTCTAACATTTCAGAACACACATAATTATTTGCCTCTCGCAGAGCTTCATCCTCATTACCAGCGTTTACATCTGTTTCTGTAGTATCTTCGGCTTGACCAGATACTACTTGCTGTTCGGTTACTTCTGCATTTGTTGAAGCTATTTCCATTCCCTCAAGAATCGGATATATTATCTCTTCTGGACATCCCGAAATTTCTTCATACATTTCGCGCATTTCCCCTCGTACCTAACGTAATCAATAGCTTTTAATCACAGCTTGGAGACAATACGATAACAATAGTACATTTCTATTTTTTTAAGATAATATGCCAAGATTATGCCTAACATTAATATATTTATGATTGTTTTGTGTTCGAGATATGATAAAAAGATATATTTTTATTTACCTCGAGCTCATGAATACGTTGTAAAGTTTCACTATCAATTTCCATTCCTTCTGGAATTTGCGATTCGCTATCGGCTGCATTTTCGTGTGACGTCTGTGTTGCTTCAACTTGATCGTTATTCATTAAACTGGTATCCTCTATAACGATATTTGCGGGCCTGACTTGATCTTGCGGCGATGAACTTTCAAGGATACTCGTAGTCTCACAATCTGATATCTGATAAATCTGATCGCTGGATATTTGTGAAATCTGTTCCTTTGAGATCTGAGAAATTTGATCTATGGATGTTTGTGATATATATTCGTTGGATAACTGCGAAATTGATTCTCCGGATGTGTGCGATGCACGTTCTATCTGTTCGCTTGATCTGGGTGACGAATTATCATCAGGTAATAGCACAGTGTCCTCCTCCGACGCTTCGATCACGTTGCTTTCTATAGGTTGCAAATTTTTCTCGCTCGACGAAAAATCTGTTTCTTCCTCGTAAACATTCGCAATGCTTTCTTGACAAATCTGCCTTGCAATGTCATTAGCCTCAACTATATCTTGTTTCTCACAGATATCCGTAATCTTGTCGACTTCTTCTATTTTATTTTCATTTGTCTGAATATCTTCTGTTATTTCTATGGAATTCACTTGTATGGATTGCATGGAGTCATCCAAATGTTTCTCGTCAGTCAAATTATCTGATAATGTGTTATAATCCAAAGGCATCAAATTTTGTTGCACCTCTTCAGAATTAGCTAGATCGTCGGAACTTTTTATGCTGATTTCGGTCTTGCAGCTAGTAGTATCGACCTTATCTTCTGTCATTACAATGGGACAGACAGCATGTTCTGATGTGGGAATATCCACGTTAGATTCCAGACGAAGTCTTAAACTTGAACGTGTTACTGCACCACTAGAACGTGACTCGGTAATATAATGAAGATTCGATTTAAGTTTAGGCTCTCGCTTTTCTCCCCATATCGGTTCAAAATGTTTCACCTTCCATGGGTCTAACTTATTCTTATCTCGTTCCGCTTCCATCTTCAAGCGTTGTTGATTTTCTGGAGTAAATTCTCCTTCTGCTAAACGTTTCCGCCATTCTAAGCAAGCTCTCGCAAAAAATTCATTATTCAGTCCAGAGATAGCAGCGTCCTAGGATTAAAACAAAATAATACAATCATGTTAAATCTAATCAAAGAGAAGCTTGCAATTTCTAAATAATTGTTCAATCATGTGTGTAAAAAGAATTAAAATATTCAATTATACATACTGTTGAGTCAATTATGTTGGATACCTGTCTATCTACAGCAGGCAGGAGTTGTGCAAGCTTCCGTTGATATAGTGGAGGCAAGCCTTGAAATGTATGCCTATTTAATAGAGCGCGTAAACTCGTGCTTGCTAAGATGCTCGCTGGTGATTCTAAATCCACGAGACCAGCCTCTAATTGCGCGGTCGCTGATAGCCTTTTTGTAGATCGCCTGCGACTTGATTTCAAGCTAAATCCAGGTAAACTAGCCAAGACTTCTCTCATTGTGGCAGCAGGTTCTTCCGCTGCTGCATTCATACAAAATATAAAAATGATCATTTATTATCGTTTCAGCAATTAAAAATAAAGTTGTTTTACTACAATTCTTAAATTCCATTTTACATAAAAAATCTAAAGAAATAAAATAAATTGTCTTATATAGTATTATTAGTAGTAATTATTTATTCAAATAAATATAAATATTAGTATTAGTATTATTATATTAGTATGCATGTTTATAACAAATATAATGAAAATATAAATGTTTATATACCAAATATTAATCAGTTTTCTTACTAACATTAAAAAATCCATTCTTGATAACACGTTGATTACCCAAGATAAAGTATGTATGTTTTCTGCAAAGCTCAAATTCACGGTTCACTTCGAGATCATTACATTGTCACCCCTATTTGGGTAACAAAAGTCTCTGCAGAAATTTACTCACCACTCAAATATGAGTGATATGGCAATCAACGTGATAAACATATCATGAAATACCAAAATACAACATTAATTACAAGATGTAATCCAATAGTTATAGACAATTTATTTTATCAAAGCAGTATGCACAATAAACAAATGCATCAATAAACAGATATTTAAATTTAAAATTATAATTATGAAATTATTTTGGGAGTGATATTTTTTTCCCTCACCTTTCATTCTCCTATTTGAACATCTCAACATTATTTTGTGATATTAATCAATAATTATGTTATCTATCGAATTGAATATATCATACGCACAAAATAATACATGCTAATGAAATATTAATTTATATGATATATAATCATAATATATACCAAATAATGCCAAATATATCATAATACCAAATAAATACATATTAATTATATGAAGAAAGCCAATGGGATTGAATTTTTTTTATATCAATTGTTATAGCATTGCATTAGTAACTGTTACAATCACAAGAATATAAAAACTGTATAAATGATTAATTTGTACAACTAATTTATATAAATAATTTATATAACTTATTGCAAATATAATAATCTGACCATTTAATATGTTAAATGATCCTTCGATTCGTTATGATGTCATGCAAAGGAAACATTATGATATTCTCGCTGCAACAAATAAGCGTTCAGAGACCATCGAATCCTTTCCCTGAATGAAAAATGGATACAGAGACAAAAGCAGACTTTGCAGGATTCAGAAATTACCGGTGTTGACGTGCTGTACATTATTGACCGGTGACGGTGGATCGTTCGGCGGTGGCGGCGGTAGTGGTTTCACCACGATCCTGGGCAATGTGCGGGAATTGCCCGCCGCTATCGTCGTGTTCTTCCTGCGCCGTTTGGCTTGCTGTCGTAACGCGTGCTTAATGACCTTCTTGCTGTGCACCATGCTAGAGTAGCCGGAGCAGCCCGGGATAGTCTCGCACCCTTCGCCCTTGCCCAGTTCCATGTCCGCGTCCATGACGGCGCCTACGGCTTTGACATCGTCGGCAAGGGGAATGTCAGGGCACGCGGTGTAGGCCTGCCGCGGCATAGCGTTAGATCGCGCACTGACGTTTCCGTACGTTGCATTCCATCCTCGCCGCGGTATATATATATATATATACCTAAGGCTCACAAATGCGTCCTATCTCCCCGAGATATAAACATAACATGTCTCTTTCTTCTTTCCTTTCTCTCTCACTCTCCGTCCCGCTCGCTCGTTCTTTCTCCCTCACCAGTGGCGACCGAATGACATTTTTGTCGAACCAGTCAGATTACGCTGTGAAAGATCTCAGGGGAACTGTTTACGTCATTTCGCTCCCCGGGAGTTCGTCAATTGCGCGGGATTACATTGAGCGGCGAAACGTTACAAGTCTCTCTCAATCGCTTAGCGAAATACCATCCGGGAAAGTGGGAAAGCTTCCGCTTCTTTCGGCCATAGTATGGTCGCCATACTGTATTTACATATTTATGCCGCGGGAACGTCATCGATGTAGATGCACGACTCGTTTTGCATCAACGACGCGATTGCGTATCGAAGTAATGCATACGTGTATACATATATGTATATGTATAGACCTGGGGGTCGATCATGTAACTTTTCCCCTAGGGCGGAACGTGAAAATGTGAAATTTTTCACGTGAACTTTTTCGCCATGTACCTTGGTGGCGGAAAGGCGGAAATCTAGGGAATTAATAAATATGCTTCGGAATTAGAGCTGTGTTAGGATTAAGTGTACATATACGTAGTACATATACAATTAAAATATGTATATAATAAAATAATTTTCATTAGCTATAAAACCTATAAAATTATGTTTCATGATTTCACTTTCCACGCATCCAAGTTACATACATAATCGTTGTACGTGAAAAGTACGTTTCATGTGAAATGTCAAGGTGTGAAAAATGAAAAATAAAAAATAAAAAATTTCACGTAAAGTTACATGATTGATCCCAAGATGTGAAAAATGAAAAATAAAAAGTAAAAAATAAAAAATAAAAAATTTCACGTAAAGTTACACGATTAACCCCCTAGTTATATATATATAAATTGCGTTTTTGATAAAATAGATTTGAATCATGGAATAAGAAAATTATTGATGAGATACATGATCCATTTTAGTACATAAGTAGACAACGAATTAAAAGCGCTGTGTAAATCTTCTGATTGTTCCATTCGCTCCAATTGGACATGTCCATTCATATCGATTGATACTTAGAAATTTTGCAACAAACCACTTCTCAGAAAGTTTAATATTTAAAAATCAGGGCAAGAGAGACTGTGGAGATCCCTATCTTAGACGAATTTCTATAATTTCATTCATATTATGGCTAAAATATTGAGAAATTTGCAACGTATTGCAAATCAAAAAGATTATCCGCAGGTTCTTCTAGAGCAATTTTTATTAAAAAAAGCAAGAATAAATAATTTATCTAATGTTAGAGACACTACAATAAGAGACTGGCCACGACTCTGATCCACCAATCAGAAACTGGCCATGATTAAAGACATTACAATCAGAGACTGGTCACGACTCTGATCCGCCATGTTTTGGCTAAATCCTAGAAATATACACCATCCTCACTCTACCAATAACGTATTTTTGGAAGCGTCCCGTTTGACACGTTGCAGTTGGATACAGCCACTTACAGCGACCGATGCTTGGAGTATTTTCCACTAGATTAACTAATCAAATTAATTTTTAATTTTAAAAACTGGCCAATCGACAACGTGGTCAATTGAGTGCTATCCGTTTTGGTTAAAGTAAAAAATATACATCATCTCTAATCAATAACGATTATTTTTACTTTGCATGTACATTGATTTAAGTATATATTGTGCATGTGTATTAAACATGTGGAAAGCGTACTAATATATTATTAAATAATAAAGATAACTAAAATTGACAAAATATAGTTATAAATTAATTAATTGTGAATAAATCAATAATAAAA